GAAAATTGAGGGAGAGGCGCACCCGGTTCTACGCCTTCCGAAATACCTTTTTCCGCCATTTGTTTACACCGTTTTACACTGATACACAACGAACGCAATAATAACCTTTTTACGTTCCTATTTGATTAGGAACGGACGCATAGACAACGGAACCTAATATTCACAATTTACTCGGACTCGACTACCCTAATTTTAGTCGGAATCCAACACGGAATTGCGCAGAATACAACCAAATAATTACATATAACTTTTAACAATCAATTACGCTTATCGGACGGTGACTGATATTTTTGTACGGCCTATACGGAATCGACTACCCTAGTTTTAGTCGAAAACGAAAACGGAACTGCGCTGATCACAACCAAGTTATTACATATAATTTCTACCAAGTAATTACGCTCATAATCGACGATGACTGATATTGTTTTACGCGAAATCAACTACCCTAGTTTTAGTTGATATTTTTATACCCGCGCTGAATAATTGTAAACACATCAATGATAAATCAAAATGGTTCAATAGTTACTTGGAAGTAACCGCAAAAAGTGTTTTTGACTTGAAATTAAAAAAATAGAAAAAAATCAACCTTGACAAACACACTTTTTATATCCTGCCGACTGCGCCAAAATTTATGTAACGACCCGCCGTAGGCAGGCGTAAGGGATTGGATAATTAAAGTGTGTTGGAGAAAGTTAATTGTCGGGAAATGAATTTAGAAAGTAATTAAGGGAGTTTGACTCAAATATGATGGAATAAAACAAAGTAAATATGTAAGGTTATATAAATCAAAGTCTCTTTAATGCACACTAAAACTATTTAATACAAAGATGTGTTCACAAACTTACAATAAGACAATACCAGCCATTTAATACACATGTACTCTGAGACATATAAACAATAAGACAATGAATCAATGCAATATGAACAATCAATCAATTAATAACTCACCAATACTTCAGTGCACTAACGGGTTCAGTGTAATATATCCTATTTCTAAATGTACTCTGTGTATCCTAAACTATCCTAACCTATGAGTCTGCTGATTAGCAATTGAGAGAGGCGGAAACGCGAAAACCGGCGGGCGCAAGACTGACGTTTCTGAGGGTGGGGAAACTTATATACTTCCCCAGAGACAAAGCAAGGGGCAAGGAAACTCCCAAAACAAAGAATTTCAGTCTTGCCCATTGGTCAATGACACGTGGCTAGCATGTCAAAATATTATTTATGACCTAAAGACTGACGGTGGTGTCCATAACTATAGACCAGAACGAATTAAACATAAATGATTGGATGTACAATAAAAATATAAGTGTGCCACTGACTAAAAGCCACCGGCCACTGTTAGAATAAGAACTGGAACTAAATGCACAATGGTGATTGGTTGACAATGGTACAATACTGTTAATAAAATATGAATGAGTAGAAGACTTGAAAATATTACATATAAGGACCCAAGTCCGTCACAGTAAACTATTGAAACGAAATTGTTGTCAAATAGATTGATAATTATCACGCGATTACTCGGGATAAAATAACTATTTTTGAGGATAGCAGGTATCTTTGATTGATTTATATAGCGCTTGTATACACACAAAATAGTTATTAATTGCAAACCTACTGTTCGTTGATGCAGTGTCGCAATGACGGTTAATTCCTGATGCGATTTGCAATTTCGATGTTACCGGAGTTGACCGATATTTTCGTAAAATTCCAAACCTGTCTCCAATATTTTCGTAATTATGCATCAATATGGTCTAAGGGGGGTACGGGATGGTGTGTATGTATTTATAAGGTATGTATGCATGCTTGAATCACATTCTTTATGTAATATTACCATGTTTTCGGAGTTTAATTAGTTCCGCATGTCGGAACCTGCTGAACGACTAAATTAACACATCAAGGGCAAAATGGTCATGGAGGTTAGACCTAGCAGGGGCCATAAGACATGTCAGATAAGAAACGAGGCCCAGGCTAGGTCTAATGTTGTTGGACTATTATTTTTAATGATCAAGAAAGTACTTTGCACCCTCCCGCCAAGTTAGGAAGAAGCCAGAGCTTTCATTCTGGTACACATCGCATCTAGAAACATGTCTGTGTCTATCATGTAAGAAGAGAGGGTCAAGGTATTCCATGATGGAGCATTTTGGAAACCCTTCTTAGAAATTGCTATGCTGAAAATGGGCTATTGGTATACACTGTGTACAAGTAATGCAGATTGCTCCGATTTTCACTACGGCGCCATGCCGATTGAGTATTTTGTTCAAAATTGAATACAATATTGAACAAACGGAGCAAATGTGACCCAGGCATCAGTGTTGTATGAATTTATTTTGTTAGGATGCCAGTCAGAGCTCTTGATGCAAGTACTAAGTTTACAAACATGCATGTCAACCATGGCCAATTAGAAAAGTGCACCCCTTCTATATGATAATATAAACTTACTTCGGTCCAAAGCCGTCTCTATATTCCGGCTTTGAGGAGGAAGATTGAGCTGCCTTAGTATTATAAATATTGTAAATCATTGTGTCACACGCACAGTAAATATGGCATAATAATATGAAATATACCTTTATGTATAGATTTGAAGAACAACAGCTCACATCCCCGTCTGAATCTATTGTTATATTTGATTTCTTTAAGCGAGAATAATTTCAAATTTTATTCACGTCCAGAACCGGAAGCCATTTTTAGCTACAGCGAGAAAATTTCAACATGTTTCAAACTCCGAAATGAAATTTTGAAATATCTAAATCCAGACAAGCAACGCTTCATCCTAAATATGATTAATATTCTAAAAAAATATTTATAAAATTTATTAAAAATGAGTTCTAGGTGCGTGTAGGTGCGTGTAGCACAGTACATACGGAATCAATGAAGTTACGTCTAGCTGTAAGCTAGAAACTCGAGTAAATATAAACCCTTCCTACACCTTGGTTTAGCTTTGGATCACTATGCTATCACTATGTGGCAGAAATGCATTCTGATTGGATATAAATGATCACATGACTTAGTTCACCAAGGTATCAGGAGATGGCATGCCAAAATGTAAAATCTCTATTAGCTCATTGCTTGCGAATGTTGATTTTGTGTTCAACCTGCATGTTCGACAAGGAGGAAAACAAAAAATATAACAAACTAGACATCGAACAAATTATCTGCGTCGAATCCGCTGAAAAAATAAATTGCATTGGACGATTAGAATTAGATAGACGAGACCCTGTCCTTTCAATTCCAAATCCCCAGTCACGAGTGTGAAAGAGAATTAAAAAGTTCATGTATTCAAACTTCATGTCAAAGCATGGGCTCTACCATCTAAAGAACACTGTTAAGTTATTGCAAGTTGTTACTGTTGCAACCATTGCAACTGTTACAGACGCCGAAAACTGAACTTTAAAAAATGGAGGCTTCATTAAAATTCAGGAAATACTATGTGTATTAACAATCTCAACTGCCGCTAAAAACATGGAAAACCAATTATAAATTTTCATGAAATATTTTATTGGAATATTATATGTTTCTACATGCAAACATCGTATAGCACCAGAAAGTCAACTCTTCCTTTAAATTATTCTATATAATATTCTATATAACGTACACAGGAAGTTAGGGACAAGAAAAACATCTTACACTAAAATAACATAATGTGGGTCTAGTTAAAATGACAACTTTTACCCTCTCTCCTTTTTGGCGAAGCTCATACTGGAAAATAGTTCATGTTTTTATCCCTCTCGCAAAAGATAATTACTTTCCCTTAAAACTGATTCACTGTTATTTTGCTCAACCCCTAAACTGGTGTATGAGTACATATTGCGTCATTTTTTGTCCAAGTTCCCATACATGTATATGGTGTTCTAATTAAGTATTTTTTCCCAAACTGATACAGTGGTACAAAAGTAGCCAATCATGGTTATAAAAAATTTAAAATGCAAATTCCCCCATTGCTAACAAAGCATTGTAATAAAATATCCATTATATAGACTAAAAATAGAATTTAGGATTGGGACCCAAAATTCAAGTGTGTGATATCTCAATTAAAGATTGTGTACAGTGAAACTTGTCTAAATGGAACACATATGCCACCTTTAAAAGGCATACCACTTGTGAGGTGTTCACTTACAGAGGTTCATTTTACATTAAGTCAGTTGGTCTTGGGACTCTGAATAGTGTTCCACTAACAGATGTGTTCCACTTTTAGAGGTGTCCCACTTAACAGGATTTACTGTATATTGTAAAGAATATTGATTTAAATGATCAAATTTCCATGTTTTGAATGCAGGAGGATACCACTTTTGCATTTGTATTAAAAATGCATGAATGGATTACTTACTACGACCTACTACATGTAAAGCTAGTACTTATTCTTATCACACATATTATCCAGAATTTACTAAACATATTCCCCATTCGCTAAAATCTTTCTTTAGAATACCCCATTATGGATCAGAATGCTGTTCATGAAATACGAAAACTTTCAACTTGCATATACAAAAGTGAGACAATATCTGAAATTGATAAAGTGTATACATTATAGTTTGTAAAATACTGTCTAGGAAAATATACATTTACATATATGTGTTAAATAAGTACTGGGTAATTAAATATATAATTTATAAAATACATTCTACCTAAATATGTACAGATATAATCTCATTTGGTTTCATGCTTGCATAGATTTGTGTAGATTAGGTGATGCATAAATAGATGCATTACGCTGTTTGAATTCTATAGTCAAGTACGTACACTACTGTCTTAGAGTATGCTTGGCTTTTGATCCGAGTATTGGTTCTATATATTCATGTACATTATGCACATACACTACTGTCTTAGAGTATTCTTGGCTTTTGATCCTAATACTGGTTCTATATATTCATGTATGTACATACACTGCTGTCTGAGAATTCTTGGCCTTGAGATTTGAGTATTGGTTCTATATTCAAGTACATACACACACCGCTGTCTGAGTATTCTTGGCCTTGAGATTTGAGTATTGATTCTATATTCAAGTACATACACTGCTGTCTTTTGAGTATTCTTGGCCTTGAGATTTAAGTATTTGTTCTGTATTCAAGTACATACACTGCTGTCTTTGAGTTTGGGTTTGATTTTGGTGAGATATCATACTGACATAATTACTCTGAATCATCAATTTCATTTTCCTCAACATAATCTGTTCGAGGGGGCTGATAATCGTAGTTGTTTTCTTCCTCACCAGGGGGAAGAGGACATTTGAGGCAAAGCGGCTTCTTCTTTCCGTAATCAACACATGTGGTTCCAACACATTGACAACAGCCATGGTCGTGGAACCAACGATATCGCGCAGATCCCATTGATTTACACGAGGATTTACACTTGTTTAGAGACATGCACTGTGACATGAAGGCGACGGTGCAATTCATGTCCTCCAGTTTCTCAAAGTTCAGGTTAGTCTGGTGGTGGTGCCTCACTTTATGCAACTTGTTCTGTTTATCTGCAATAAGGAAAAGTAAAGGGTCAGGTATTGGTTGTACATATGTAGTTTTAGGGTAAAGGGTCAGGTGTTGGTTGTACATATGAAGTTTTAGGGTAAAGGGTCAGGTATTGGTTGTACATATGTAGTTTTAGGGTAAAGGGTCAGGTGTTGGTTGTACATATGTAGTTTTAGGGTAAAGGGTCAGGTATTGGTTGTACATATGTAGTTTTAGGGTAAAGGGTCAGGTATTGGTTGTACATATCTAGTTTTAGGGTAAAGGGTCAGGTATTGGTTGTACATACGTAGTTTTAGGCAGTGTTTTTCCTAAGCAAATATAAATCACAGGACCAATGGACTGGCAATATCAAAATTTCAACCAGTCCAGGCTAAGCATCATCAGTCATCTGGACCTGTAACTTCTGCTACATCACAGGTCCAAGTGAAAACCAACCAGTCCCTAAAATATTAAAGTATAGACCACATTTCGTGTCATTTGTCAAAAGTTCAAAAAGAAAGGACCTTACACACCCTCCATTGGGACCTCCCCATGGGAAAAAAATAATTCATCTGATTTTTCAAAATGAGTATTCTGCTTCAATTATTACATTCATATGCACACTAGTATCTTGTTGACCTATATTCAGCACTGTATTGATGTATAGGCCATTTATTAGGGTCATAGTTCAATCATGAAGTGTAGAGGCATAGATTCCAAACCAGGAAGTATTTTTGTGTCTGTCAAAATCCATTTACATCCTACGCATCCCTGCATCTTATCCAAATATGTTACGACATAATGAAATATAATAGTATAATCGTTGGTTTTACAAACTTTTATGATATTTGATAAGTGTAAAAGGTGGTTTTTGAGCATTTTTCTATAGCCATTTTGTAGGGAAAAAAATGATGAAAAAATGTACAATCTTTTAATTTTAAGTATGACCTGAATCGATTCATATTTGCACATTTGATGAGATAAACCATTTGTGTCGTATTGTGAAATTATTAAGTTTGCAATCGATTCAGGTCATAGTGTATTTTTGGTATTTCTGTGATAATCAATGGAAACCAATGGCCTCTATTGGGATATGCTGATATCCTCATGTTAAGTCAATGGTGCACAGCCCCATGTAAGTCAATACCACCTTACTGAACGAAATGATCCCTATCTCAGCTTATGTGTGTCTGAGCACTTTAATATTTTCCAAAGTATTATATGACATTTTATTCTTCATGTTACACCTACGAATGATTCATTTTGACCATAGGGATATTTGCCAATAATTGCACCTTGTCCTTTAAAAAATTAATACAGGAACCGGAAATTACTTTTGCTACACTGGACGAAAACAAATGTAGTTTGTATCTTCACCCGGGATTGTTTAACCTCCATTTACCCTACTCGATCAATTTATGAATCCCCATATAATTTCTCGTTATAATTATATTTATTTAATAGTTAGTGGACAGTAATGAAGTCCCCGTGTTGGAATTCCCGGTTAATTTGCCTCCATAATCAGAAATTTTACATCGAACGAAATACCATATGGTCACTACCCACAATTCATTTCAACCAATGAGAAAACAGTTTTTCGAAGTTATTGATAGATTATGCTACGCAATTTATCCTCGTTTGCAGACCTGAAAATCAAAAAATATTTCAAAAAATCCTGTCTGTTTTAAAGATTTTCGATGTGATAATGAGTAAAATCTTGAGTAAATGAAGTTCAACGATCGGACTGATGTTTGAGGTAAGACTTTGGTGCATATCTTTCCCATCGGACTTGGACGGTCTTGTGGACTGGTTGGTTGGAATAAATCGTCAGTCCTGGGTCAACATCATCAGAGATGTCCCATGGTCCGACGCTTAGGAAAAACACTGGTTTTAGGGTAAATGGTCGGGTATTGGTTGTATATATGTAGTTTTAGGGTAAAGGATCATGTATTGGTTGTACATATGTAGTTTTAGGGTAAAGGGTCAGGAATTGGTTGTACATATGTAATTTAGGATAAAAGGTCAGGTATTGGTTGTACATATATAGTTTTTAGGGTGAATGGTCAGGTATTGGTTGTACATATGTAGTTTTAGGGTAAAGGGTCAGGTATTGGTTGTACATATGTAGTTTTAGGGTAAAAGGGCAGGTATTGGTTGTACATATGTAGTTTTAGGGTAAAGGGTCAGGTATTGGTTGCACATATTTTGTTTTAGGGTGAAGGGTCAGGTATTGGTTGTGCATATGTAGTTTTAGGGTAAAGGGTCAGGTATTGGTTGTACATATGTAGTTTTAGGGTAAAGGGTCGGGTATTGGTTGTACATATTTAGTTTTAGGGTAATGGGTCAGGTATTGGTTGTACATATGTAGTTTTAGGGTAAAGGGCCAGGTATTAGTTGTACATATGTAGTTTTAGGGTAAAGGGCCAGGTATTAGTTGTACATATGTAGTTTTAGGGTAAAGGGACAGGTATTGGTTGTGCATATGTAGTTTTAGGGTAAAGAGTCAGGTATTGGTTGTACATATGTAGTTTTAGGGTAAAGGGTCAGGTATTGGTTGTACATATGTAGTTTTAGGGTAAAGGGTCAGGTATTGGTTGTACATATATAGTTCTAGGGTATGGTGTTATGTATTGGTGGTGCTTGTGTAGTTCTAGGGTATAGTGTTATGTATGGGCTTTTATATAATGTACTTCTAGAGTAAAGTGTTCTGTATTGCTTTTAGAGTAAAGTATTATATTGGTTGCACAGGTATATCTTAGGTACATTTGAACTCTTGAGTAGTATTATTCAACTTCTATTTTAAAACAAGGTGCAAGATGCAAAAGAGGAAACTCTTACCAACTGTGACAGCAAAATCCATCCCTGGCTTGAAAAACAAAACATCCTCGTGTACAGGATATGAATATGAGGTCCAACGGAAGAGAGCATCTGGTTCCTGTGTTAGCACATTGAAGAGCTCTGGTATCGGGTCACTAAGGTCCTCAATGGAACTGGTCTTGTACATGTTCTCATTAGGGTCTGGAGGGGCACACATTCCTAGGACACAATACAGATCATACAATTTCTCACACAATATTTTTTATCTTTACTTGAGTCACAGATTAAGATACAAACACTGCTGCCATCTTTTAAACAGCCAGGCATTAATAAATAAAAATGTTAGAGTAAATTCATGATTCAAATGCTACAGTAAAACAACTTTGGGTCAGCTCATTATTTCATGTTGTCCTAAATGTAATTAATTCAACTTCAAATTTTCAAATTGACCATTCTCATCATCAAAAATGTAATTTAGCATAAATTGATTCTTACAAATTAAGTTGTGTCCTCCAAAGTCTATGTATGCTGATGAAACAAAAAGGACTTCTCAACCCCTCCCAGGAATGTAATTCATTAAATTTTCTATATGTGAATATACATCAGTCTATCAACCTTGTCCATAAGATATGATATAATCATTGTATATTTAGCACTGGATTATATACAGTCGTGTCACCCGTTCATTGTAAAATGTTCTTAAAATATATATGAATAAATAAATTAATAACATTTAAAAAAATTAATAAAATAACTATATTTACCAACACAATCACAGCAATCCATGTAATAATCAGCCAAGCACTGGTGACAATCGGTGCAGCATGAACAGTTGCCTTTATCTAACATCTCACATTCACAGGACTTCAGTAACATACACTTAGAGACAACACTGGCGCATATGGCCTCATTGCATCCCTCTGTAGGAGTTAAGTAGAACAAGACGGCTAGCAGCAATACAGGCACCATGGACCACTGAGAGAGGGCCATCTGAAGAATGAAAAATATTGATACTTTTTAACTTGAGTATATCTGGGCAAGGATTGTGCTGAATTGATCCCTAGTGACAGAAAACTCAATTTTCTAATCTGATTTCAATACCGGCACTGAAGCCTAGAGCTACTTTCACGGTACTTCCAGTAAAATGGCACCACCTTCAATTTGTCAATTTATACCATAATTTGTTGAAAGGATATGATTAAGAGGGGCAAAACCAGTATTAAAAATACTGGGAGACTGTGTCAAACTTCATTGTTTATGATCACTTTATCATTGGGCTAATTCGACCATGGGGTTATTTCGATCATTCAAATTTCGGCCATCTCGGATTAAGATCTCGCCTATTGGAGATATTGATATCTATTATACCCTATATAAAATGTTTATCCTTTTTTATATACTAAGGGTACTATAGAAGAGAAAGAGGGTGACTCTACCTGATGTCAAAATAGATTAACCATTGGTCAAAAGAGCTCCATGACGAAATAACCACATTGTCAAAGTTCGCCGCACCGCAAATTTGATTAGATGTAGTCGGTCTTGCCTAACTCTAGTCTAGCTCAGATAGTGTAGTATATTAATAAAGGCCTACAACATAGATCCCGGCCAGATTCTTTTGTAGTAGGATCAGTAGCTCAATAAATATTCCTCAAGATGACACACCTCAGAAAATTTCAAATTTCAAAATGACGATTATGGAGCCATTTCTGAAAAATATGAGACAAATCATACCTCATTCGAAGCATCTTGTTATTCTTTAACTCTTTTATCACCAATGACTGTAATTCAAGCAATGCTGCGTTGATAAGAGGCCAAAACAGTGATATTTTATCGCCGGACTCTTGTCTGTCCAAATCTGAATGCTGCTCCCGTGGTTCCAGAAATGTGACGTCATCAGTACAATGATATTTGGACACACAAGAGTCCGGATCTCGTGAAAAAATTTCGCCCTATTAAAAGTCAAATAACTGCATCCATAGGTTATTTACCCGAACCAAACAAGTAGAAATAGAGAGATGAAGATCTCAGCTATAAAATAAGTGCAAAATCTGTCATGGGGAAGCAGGTACCATTTTGTATAAGGAACATTTTTGAAAGGTGGTCATATTTTTTTGAAATTTTTCAATTTAGTGTCGTATCTTGTGAATTATTCTTTGAGCCTATGAGATCCTACTACAAAACGATCTGGCCAATATCTGTGGCCTACAAGAGCAACTATGGACCCAGATATAAAAGAAAAATACAAACTAGAGTCCATTTCACTGTTAAAGTGCGTCAGTAAAAGCTATAAAATAAGAAATCAAAATATCATTTTGCAATAATATATGGAAAAATATATTCCTATTGAACATGAATGACATTTGTATATCTTGGATTGCTTCTAGTTTGGCTTAGAAAGTGTGTGGCCTCTTATATTTGGATGCTTCTCTGCCATGTTATTTTCAATAAGATTAACATGCCTGAAATTCTTCAAATTACAAGACGGCACAGGCTTATTGCACAAAAAACTAAAAAATCTGAAATATACAAATGTCATTCATGTACATTATGAATATACTTTTCCATATATTATTGCACAATGGTCTCCCAATTTCTTATTTTTGCCGTTCTACTGACGCACTGAAGCAGTGAAATGGACTCTAGGGCCCTACCAATGCACTCATTGAAAAACACAACTTCCGGTTCTCTGATTTACTTGTTTTTTAGATTTGTTAGAAGACTGAAATCAATCTCGGCTTGGAATGCAACATATTGAACCTTGAAGAATCGAGAATCAATTTGGCAATCTCTTTGAAGGAGTGCAACCTCTGAAATAAACAAATAACTGATAATAAACTTACTTTTGTGATTTTGTCCTCCGTGAGCCTCGTTTCTGGCTTTTTTCGTATAGAGTAATTAAGTACTACAAATTCCCGGGAATTCTTATTGGTTCGGCATTTACTTACTTAGGGTGCGTTAAACGGTGGGCTACCTCTAACGCACTGCTTCTGTCCACAGCGTTACCGACACACTGGCGGATCCAGGGGCACGCCCCCCCCCCCTCTTGTGGGCTCAGAACATTTTTTAGGGCCCAAATATTTTGTAGGGCCTCACTGAAAATGGGCCTTTTTGGGCTTATTTTGGCCTTTTAAGCCTAAAGAATTGGCCTTAAATTTTCAATAAAAATGGACATTTTTACTCACTCAAGATTCCCCCCCCCCCCTCCAGTGCGATATTCAACGTTTCGATTTCGTCAATTTCAGTTTTAAGCCTGCCCATTAAATGGGCTTTTAGCCTTTTGCGGATTATTGATCTCCTCTCGATTTGGTCCTGCCCTTTGGTTCCTCACCTGCCAAGGCCTATTTCTAATCAGTGATAACGCATTTATTTGTTATTGTCATGTGACTCCTGAACACGATGTAATGTTAAGTGCGTTCTGTTGTCATGATCAAAAGTGACTAACCATTTAAGCACACATTTGGAAAGTTTTTTTGTCATATCATCGGTGAATTGTGTAGTTTTTACCAGACTTACGTTTAACAACTGAGAAATCAAACACCATTACGAATTATTCTTTAAAAATACGATGTGATTTTCAATACACTATACAATGGCGTATGCCAAGTGTGTTCTTTGCCCGGTTCTTGCATACTGAACTTAATCTAATATGCGTTTTCTTATCAAGATCCAAAGTGACTAACCATTTAAGTACACTATTCTCTTTTTACCAGATTGAAATTGGTCGTTTAACAACTGAGAATGCAAACATTACGTTACGTATTAATTCAAAACCATCGGATATTTTAGTCTTCTACGATGTTTTGATTTTTTATGTGCGTTTTTCATCGTGATTTAAAATGGTTACACACATTCTAATCACGACCTTGTAAAGCATCTATATAGTCATTGGGATTCCTAGTTTTTAGTTTTATTTCCTTCCTCTTATATTGTATCTTTTCATCTTTAACTAAAGGCCGACAGCCGACCACATTACCCAAACCAAAGTGTGCAGAGTGACTGGCTGGTGGTCTGTCTTTTTGTAATGCTCAATTTTTGTAAGAAAATTCAGCAAATCTGCATTAAAGTGACGCAAAGTACGCATAGGCGTAAGACTTACGCCGAAGAAAATAAAATTTTGTAAACATGAATTAACAAAATAGAAATTGATCTATAATATCAAAGTTGTCGATAAATATTCAAAATATGGCAATTGAATAATCAAATATATTTTCATTACATCGTTCAACAGACTCGAATAATGAATGGCAAAAAGATAATGCACGTATACATTTGACCATTGTTAAATTTTCATAAAAAACGTTTCAGGTTTCATTTCTCCATGATGATTTGAATGGTCAAACATACACGTACACCAACACACCAAACACGTATTTCAAATGTCATTTGAAATTGTCAACAAGGCCTATAACACGCATTAAATTGTCAGCTAACACTAGAAAGGCTCTGCACGTCAAGGAATTTTATTTCTAAGGTAAATCTTTTTACTGCTTGTCGTTATAGGTACAATCCCTCCAAAAGTTTTGCAGCCCCGATTTGAAGCATCTTTTATGTATTTGGATTATTTGTCCTGAAATCAGCCCATGTCAACGACCAACTGAAATTCGATTATAAAATTGCTGTCGCAAAAGTAGTTTCCAAGCTACGTTAGTTCAAAAAATCAGTAGGGGACAGCGGGATAAGAAATGCCGTGGGGCAAGACGGACCACCAAGTTTATTTTAAAGTTTTAAAGTACATGTATATATCCGATCGCCTGATATTATTCTGACATGGGATCATCATGGCACCAACCTCACTCGACGTTCATTTTATTTCATTTAGGCGCCAGATTCAATCGGCGGCACTTTCCCAAAAAGTGGCCCTTTTTGCCCCACTTCTGTAAGACTTTGGTAAAACCTACAATTCAAAGAAGGTTTCTGATAGAAAAGCCCTTCTTGCCTTCCCTTCTTGCCCCATGACCACACAGATTCATTTTTTCAAAAGTGAGGGGCATATTAGCAAATCAAAAATTTATGTCAAAATCAATACCATTGTATCTCAGAGAACCAATGTTCCTAGTTTCAATTAACATGGGTTGAGCAGACAGAAACCCCCGGGCAGAAACCCTAGCAAAATATCTTTACAAGCTGTTAAACATGACTGCTCTTAGGGTCTCCGTCTTGCTCCGTTGTCGCCTTGGCCTATTTTAATTGTCATACAGGCAACATTAATTGGAATTAATGGGTCGAAAATTGAAGGCAAAAATGAAAAGGGAAATCTTCATATGCACGGCAGGGACACAGGTTGGGGCGTTGCCAGCATGTGAATAATTGGTGTATTTGGCAGGGACACAAGGTGACCCTACCGTGGGGCGATGCCATCATGTGAACAATTGGTGCATAGCATGGCAGGGACACAGTGAGGCGTTGTCAACATATTAACCATTTGGTGTGCATGTCGTTGCAGAGCAAGTACACCCCTCCCCTGGTAGTATAATTGAGCAAAGTACAAGATATCTCTGTCACATTTTACACAATACACATTTTTCTTATCACAAATACGTTATTTCAACTACATATATATACTTGTACTTTATATATAACTGTGTCACTTCATTCATATTGTTCTGGGCAGCTGTCACCTCAATCAATACCAGAATGTCCCCTCAATATGTCACTCAGAAGGCTGGCACCTCAATATTGTCACTTCAAAATCTATTACACTGATTTTGTCACCTCTTACTGAGTCGAGTGTCTCTTTCTAATTCGTAAACTCGTTGATCTGTCCTGTTTAAGAAAGCCTGACGCTCTATGTACCTGCAAATACATGAGATGAACATGCATTTTCTAACATTTTGAAAAATGTGTTGAGATGGGGTCCAAATCCATAGTTTGTCAAAAAGTTGGATGAAAGTTGGACAGATTTATGATCCTAGGGACCTCACTTGGAGGGAAACATTATTTTGATGAGAAAATAATTGTGAAGATATGACTGTCCAAACTCATTTGCCATACCGTACATGGTCATTTCAAGACAGGTACAACAGACAGAACAGCCCAACTATATAAATGTTCTGGCAGAAAAACCATATGATCGTTTGAAAACCATCCCCCAATTTAAGAGGTAAATCCACCATACATTCAGAGGGCAGCCATCCTTCTTTAAAGGACTTCATTTATGCTTAAATGCATATATATACTTGTAAAATACCCTTCCAGCAAGGATGGAGGGCAGCCAATAGCAATAATAAGTTGGTCATGTGAAAACAGGATTGAACCTAGAATTAAGTATTTAACCAATGATGAAATTCTTACCCTTGTTTGCCTTTATTGTGGGCCTGTAGGTCTGCTTTTATCCCTTCTTCCTCCTTGAACTTGTCCCAGTCAAGCTTAGATTTGTTCTGAAAAATCATGAAATTAAACAATTTGCAAGTTTTATGAAAAAGCAAAAAATAGCAATGGTACTTGGAAAAACTCCTAAACATATATGTATCTGTTTCATAATATTCTAATTTATCTATATAGTCTATTTATCTGTTTCATATACCTAATTTACATTTATTCATTAATTGTACATTTATACCTGCATTATCCTTATCAAGAGTTAATGGACTAGGCTCTGAAACTAGAGTGTACCTCCATGTACTTTAATTACTTACCAGAGTACTGATTTTATCTTTTTTCCCTATTTTTCCCAGCACACTTCCCAGTCCACCACCACCTCTTCCTGGTCTTTTTAAACTGAAACATGGTAATAGTTTGTACATATTATATATAGATAATTGTAATAAAGAGGGTCTCACAACAGAAAGTACAGGGTGGGCCAAAATACCAATACCTAAGTTTTTTTTAAATGATATACAATACATGGCATGGTTTATCATTATATCATATGATATTCATCCTTAAACTTGGGTATTGGTTTTTTTGCCCACCCTGAATAAGGTCTCAATAACATGAGACATATTCCCAAAAAGATATATAATAAAAGTTTGATATTTCATTATAGTGAGTACATGAATGGCACCTCATATATTTACTACTCTTTTAATCAGAGTGCATTTCAATGCTTGTACAATGTACACCCATGGGTCAAAATTAATTGAAGGGCTGGTTCCCTATCCTATATGCAGTAAAAATCAAGTCACTGGTCCACAGCAGGATGATACGAGATGTAACTGTTGTCAGTTTCATCCAAGATGGTGGATTTTGTTTGATATCAGTAAACCTTCTATTTCAGCTAAACCAAGTCAAATCTTGATTCCAAATATTTTGTCATGCAAACTAACAAAATCCTGATTGTAAATAACTACAAAAGAAATCAGAGAAATTTAAAGGAAATGGCTTGGCTTAGAACAATACATACTTTGCTAAACCAGTCAATGAGCTGCTAGGATTGCTATTTTGTTTTTCTGCTTCCGCCTCTTTCTTTTTCAGCTCAGCCTTGGCCTCCTTTGAACAGGCATCCACCTCCTTTGTTACCCTGGTAACAATACAAAACAGTTGAGACAATAACACCACCACATGACACAAGGTGTCAGCACAAATTAGGTTCACATATGTAGAATGATGTCAAGAACAGTTATTCATACTTATAATCATTTTGCCTGTTGTTTTTGTTCCTTTTGCCTGTTGTTTTCGTTCATTTTGCCAGTTGTTTTCGTTCATTTTGCCAGTTGTTTTCGTTCATTTTGCCTGTTGTTTTCATTTATTTTGCCTGCTGTCAGACATTCTACTGTGACTCATGTTCTATTACAAGTATCTGTAAACATACTTGACAGTTTCTCCAGCAAAATCATACTCCTTCACAATGGTGATTTTCTGTGCCCCAGCACTACTAGTGACAGGCTCTTTCTTCTTGACTTCACTGGATGAAGCTGCCGGAGATTTTAGCTGGAGATAAGAATTAATTGATTGTATAAACACGATGGGATATTTTGGTGTAACACAAGATTTAGACAAATGTATCTTATAGATGACTTTCACTGCGAGGCTCTTCTTGACTTCACTGGATGAGGCTGAGAGAGAGATTTTAGCTGGAGATTAGAATTAATTGATTGAGTAAAGACAATGGGATATTTTAGTGCAACACACGATCTGCCCAAATATGTCCAATAGATGGCTCTCACTGTGAAGGTTTTAACATTACACTTGGAAAAATAAATATTATCTTAATAAAAGAAATAGCTATGGCCTCAGTTTCTTTGACAAAACTGTCTAAACAATTCCTACTGTAGAACTTTGGGTAGGTGTTGGAGTTGGGGTAGGTTTTGGCTTTGGTTTGTGGCCAACATCTTTCATAAAATCTGCCCAAAGGTCATCTGCTCTTTTCTTCTCTTTCTCTTCCTGATGTACTTTTTCCTCTTCTTTCATCTCAGTTGCAAGATCTGTAAATTAGACAAAGAAACAAAAGAAACAAAGTATTTCTTCTTTTAACTTGTTCTGCAATTAACTGAGTTTAAGAGTACTTCAATGATTATAAAGAAGACATGTTGCTTTAAAATTCAAAAATCTATAAAACTTAGATTTATTCTTGGCAAAGAACAATAAAAACTAAAGATTCATTTCTTTGTTTCTTTACCTTTAACATCTTCCTCAAGTGTCTCTGTCTGTTCTGGCTCAGGATCATCAAGTTTAATACCACCATGTCTTTTCCTACAAACATGCAAATAGGCTACATGTTCAACAAAAGTCTTTAAGTTAGCTCACTAATTGGATTACTACCGTAGACATGTAGAGTCAATGCTAACTCTGAACACAGAGGTATCTTAAGATTTGTGTCTATTTGGTGAAAGTGTAGGGATTTCATGACAGATGTAAACAAAGGCATTAACATGAGTTATATGGTAATTAATTTACAATTTAAATGCATGGAAGGCTCTTATAGCAAAGGATCTGAGAGCATCTGAATAGAATATTAAGTTGCGATGTTGTTTTGTTTCACATTTTATATGTAAAATCAAGGCATGGAGTGGAATGATGAGAGCAAAAAATACAGTTAAGTGAAAAAAAATTTCAAAACTTACTCTCCACTCATCTTTAGCCCTTTTATTTTCTTTAACTTATCTCTAATTATGGTACAGGGTGGTTAAATAAAACAGCAACCCTGCCACAATTTTCCTCATATCTTTGTCATTTTAGAAAAATACTCCATGATATTTGGTACATGTGTACATCATTCAATCTCCAACCAGACCAAAATATTTCACGACCACTAATAGATACAATGTAACAGCACTAACAACATGCTTCAGAGGACAATAATGCACTGTAGGCAAACCTGCACCCGTCATCCAAAATGTTCATACCCGACTTCAACCTGTGGGATATGCCAAAGATTACATAACATGTAAGTGTACAAAAATGACCCAAGGACAATTATAAACCTCAAAAAGGAGATCATAATTGTGAGGATTTCAGTTGGATCATAGACAACTTGTGCACGTTTGCCTAAGTGCGATGATGGCCACACCTGGGCATGTTGTTTAAAGTCCTGAAACATTGTGATTATCAGTCTGATGGTCATGAAATTTGATAGGCTGATAAGATGTACGATGTACAAGTGTGTAAAATATCAGGGATTGATCCTATAAGATGACAAAGATATGACGGAAATACAGGGTTGCCATTTTTTTACCACCCTGAAATGTTATATATACATGTAATACCATGGATATTCTAATGAAATGAAAGCTAAGTCTGTTAACATTTAGCAGAAACAAGAAAAAATTACCTTGAAAACATTTTATCATCTTTTTTTCTTTTCTTCCCTTTCTTGGGATCTGCTTTGTCACCAGCATCCAAATTCTCATCATCCCCGCTTCCCTCTTCCTCACTGACAGCTTCGCCATCTGGTGAAAAGAATACGAACCAATGAAAACTTAAAGGTTGTATGTAACTATTAAAGTGATTTTTTCTTTTCAAAGCTTTAATACAGCATGTTGCTGTGTATATATAACACTGATTTTTACTTACACATTTGGAGTAGTCGTCCAAAACAGAAATTGATAAAATATTGATGGAGTGGGAGCTGTTACAATGACCCCTATTTTTAACAATTTTCAGAACGTTTCGTCCAGTGTATTTAATGAGGAACCCACCTTAATTCAATCGCAATAAATTCCCATTTTCGGGCTTAAATTTCTTGACAGGAATGGATGTCTTTTTTTAATAAACTTTTCTCTCCTATCATAGTCATTATTACAAATCAACTCAAAGAGGATTGGCTCCCAGGATCGAAACTCAATATTTTCCAACAATGAAAACGTCGTAATGTCATTATTTTCTTAAATCATAACTGACTATAAATTCAAAATAAACATGATTTGAACCAATATCTCAATAATTTCTAGTGAGTTTTGGAATTTTTCGTTTAGAAATAAGACCAAAATTCATGGTTCAAATGTTGAAGTGAACAAAATGGCGGCTGTTTGAATTCACATTTTATATCACGACAATCGAACTTTCCCGTATATGGGACAGAAGATCGATGTTGCACTCTGGGAGCCAATCCTCCTTGAAATCAGCTAATACCAATCACCTAAGCATTGGACGTTTATGGATCTCTCAGCTCCAAATTCTCCAGTTTATTACAAAAATAAATTTTGTTATATTAGTATCAATAGTAACAGCAGGTTTAAGATTAATGCACGTTTTTGATATAGTATAAGCTTAAGGCGACGCTATATTAAATAAAAAGTACAAAAAATGACTGCCATATTTTTTTGATAAAGACACATGTTTTTAAAATCTGTTTACCTTGTATATGAATTGTGTATCTTGACTAATGAAACATGTCAAAGTTAACATCACACATAAACGCATTTTTCCAAACTATGAATTGGAGGTGCATGAATCCCCAAAGCTAGCATGAAGAGTGCGAAGTGAGGCTAATTTTTGAAAGTTTCAAGGAGTAGCCTTGCAACAGTCACACATTTGCAAGAGTCTAAAATTTCCACAAATCATCTTACCTTACCAAGGAACAACGAACGAGCACGAAAATGTGTACTTCTTGCATTGTTAGAGTATAATAAAGCTCAAACCATTGTGAATTCTAAATATTTCATGTCCACCATTTTGTTTCCTGGAACTATTTTTTAGTCCAGAGTTATCTTCATTCATGTTTCCATTGTTTATCATTCATAAAGCCTCTATCATGTATCTATCATGATAATTACACTTTAATAGATAAAACATACAAGTGATAATCCATGCCACTTGGTGTAGTCACAAAACTTGCATGAGGATTAATCAGGAAGTCTAGAAGTAGTTCCGGCAAACAAAATGTGGACATGAAATATTTGGAATTTACAATGGTTTGAGGTTTATTATACTCTAACAATGCAAGAAGTGCACATTTTCATGCTCCTTCGTTGTTCCTGGGAAAGGTAAGATGATTTGTGGAAATTTTAGACTCTTGCAAATGTGTGACTGTTGCAAGGCTACTCCTTGAAACTTTCAAAAATTAGCCTCACTTCGCACTCTTCATGCTAGCTTTGGGGATCCATGCACCTCCAATTCATAGTTTGGAAAAATGCGTTTATGTGTGATGTTAACTTTGACATGTTTCATTAGTCAAGATAGTATACAATTCATATACAAGGTAAACAGATTTTAAAAACATGTGTCTTTATCAAAAAAATATGGCAGTCATTTTTTGTACTTATTATTTAATATAGCGTCGCCTTAAGGTAACACTACCTAAAAACATAAAAATACACCAAAAAATAAAATTCTTACGTGGGCGATAATAGAGTTGTTTTGTCATGCAAACGTTTTAGATCGATGTTTACTCAATCATCCTTTGAATGGTTGCAATTATGAATAGCCTACCTGATGGTACATAATCTGCATCATCACTTGAACAATAGTCATCCTCTGAATCGGACATTTTAGCTGGGAATAACAAAAATACTGTGATGATTTTTAAAATATAACTTTTCACTTCGAGTACACCTTTCTGGTAAAGTTGAATTTCAGCCAATCAGCAGTCGCCTAATATTCCGACATGACGTCATCAAAACATAGAACAGGAAGGCAAAAGTAGGTAAAATTTCTCTCGTTTTATTCCATTTATACCGTTAAATTTAGAATATTCAGTAAAGAGTACGTGTCTGTTTATTAAAGTAAGTATCGATGCATCTAGATAAAGCTTCATATAATTTAACTATTTCCTATTTACCACGAAAAGGATCGTTTGATAATGATGAAATTTTCAATAAGTCTGAAATTTTTCAAGGACAGCAGCTTATCAATGGTCTGTATATTCAGAAGCACCATAAAGCATACTTTAATTTGTATTTACTTGAGAACATTAGAATAGCAGTGTTTGATTGCAATATTTCAACTGCCAAAGATATCTTGCTTTACAAACTCCAATACTACGGTATCAGAGGTCAGGCCAACTACTGGATCAAAGACTTCCTGCAAGCAAGAACCCAAAGAGTTAGTGTAGATGGAGTGACATCGGATGAGGCAGCTGTAACATCAGGAGTCCCCCAGGGGACTGTCCTCGGTCCGATCCTCTTCCTCATTTACATTAACGACTTACCTGATGTCCTGCAACATAGTACCTTGAGGCTTTTTGCAGATGACAGCATAATTTACAGACAAGTTGATTCACCACTCGATGCAGCATTACTACAAGAAGACCTTAATGCTGCAGTAGCCTGGGAAAATCAATGGCTGATGCAATTCCACCCAGACAAGTGCACTGTGCTGTCGGCAACTGGAAGACGAACACCGGCTGTCTCCATCTACAACATGCAGGGACATGCCCTTAAACAGGTATCGTCTGCAGAATATCTTGGTGTTACAGTGCAGGCAGACCTTAAGTGGAACCAGCATATTGCTAAATCCATAACCAAGAGTAACCAGCTCCTTGGCATGCTGAGACGTCATTTATGGAAAGCTCCTCAACATACTAAGCAGACTGCATATTTCACCCTGATTAGACCAAGGCTTGAATATGCAGGCTGTGTCTGGGACCCTTACACATCAACCCAAAAACAAGCTCTGGAGATGACCCAGCGAAGAGCAGCACGGTATGTCATGAATGACTTCAACCGTGTTAGCTCTGTCGGTGCTATGCTGTCCAAGCTACAATGGGAGTCTCTGGAGCAGAGAAGACAACAACAACGGCTCACCATGCTCTATAAAATCAACAATAGCCTAGTTGGAATTCCCAAGGACCAATATCTTGAACCCCCCTCCCACAATAGACCCAGACGATTACAAGTAACTAACAGCCAAGCCTTTGTCCGCCACAGATACAACAAAGATGTCACTTTGCAGTCTTTCTTCCCAAATACAATCAGGGAATGGAACTCACTTCCAGAATCAATAGTGACAGCGGGAACATTAGAAGGCTTTAAAACCACGCTGGGTTCTTACTACCAAAACCCCATTCCTTAACTCTTACTGTTGTGTAACTGTTTTTAAACCGATTTTAACTTTACCTTTTACTCTAACACTGTTTTTATCTTTTACTATGCATACTAACCCGCGATGTAGTAATCAGTAAATGATTGAATCGTGTACTATGATGATGATGATGATATCTGTTTCTTTTGTTCAGCTCAGATTTCCTAGACCCCTACTAGTATGTATCCAACAGACCGAATATAATATTCGGTCTGTTATGATTGATATATTTCCTGTGGAAATCGCGGTGATATTTTTTGCACATTAATTTCTCGTTTATTACAAGAATGTTCACCTTGAAAATTGGTGAATATGTTGAAGAGATGTTCATCTTAAACTAGAAGCAAAAATATTTGTATAGGCCGCGCCTGGAGAGCCTTAAAATTTAAGGCTCTTTAGCCAAAATGCTAAAGAGCCTTAAATTTTAAGGTTCTTTAGCATTTGGGCTAAAGAGCCTTAAAGTTTAAGGCTCTTTAGCATTTTGATAGCCAATTCTGCTAGAGAGCCTTAAAGGAATTCCAGGCGACAGAAATGACGAAATATTGCTTCTGGGACAAGATCAAACGATTTTGACATATTCTATACCCAACCTATTTTGTAATTTAACAATCAGCACAAATATACATACCATATTAGCAGATATCGGACAAATTCAAAAAGAAAATTTTTTGCTCGATAAAATCACTGATTATTAAACCGGAAGTGACTTCTCTGAGGTCCGCGAAGATGAAGAAGATAACATATAAAGATTTCAGTCATTTCAACTAACTTTGCCGTCGATTTGAATGGTTTTAAATGATCTTCTAATGCTTACTATGACTTCTATTAGTACTGTTTTGACTTCCCCACTTCATAAAAAAACATTATCACTTTTTGCTCGACTCATGAATTTACTTCCGGTCTACCGAGAGAAATAAAAGAACCTTTTCAATCCCCAGTCTAAATTTGGCTTTTTAAAGTTTCAAACATCGATTTTGACAAGTAAATGTTTGTTAATTGTTTGATGTTCATCATATATCGAAAATATATGTCTCTGGTTCACCAGAGAAGGTGTAAGACCAGGCAATCACGTATAGCCAGAAAAATGTTATTTTTACCATTTTATCCACTATAAATCGCAACGTCCGTTTAGTAAAGATTTTGATGTATATTTATTGATGGATTGGAGGCTAGGATAAAAATGTTGTTGTTGTCTTGCATAAGCCGCTGTTTCCTCGACAGTTCACCTCTTGTACTGTAAATATGGCATTTCAATGTTAACTTTCGCAGCACCAACAATTTGGAATCAATTACCAAACAAGATTCAATCTTCTCGAAGTGTTCCCATCATGAAAAGAGAGCTAAAAAAGTACTTTGTTAATAATGAATAATTGAATACCATTCTTATAGTTTATATTTTGGGCTGTATGACACACCTTTCACTAACCACCCATTATAAGCATTCGCACACAAACAGATCCCCCTCTGTTTCTATGTAGGTAATTCACTACCCTGTCGGGAATATACACATCATTTGGAAGTGTATTCTGTGATGACCCTGCATTCACGATAAACTGCGTCAAGATGTGCTGATCTAGAAGAAACGAGATCCCTTTTCATCCCCAGGTCTTCATCATACTTTTTGCCATCTTAAAATGGGATTCCCTGTATTCTCGTGATAGCAAAGCCGATACAAGTGATTAATTTCATTAAACATTGATGATTGAGCGATGGAGCAAGCCCAAGAATTCTAGAAAAAATTGTGTACATAATTTCCGGACATCAGAGAACCGGGCGGAGAACAAACTTCCGGCTTGTTATTCAAAATAAAAAGTGCTCCATCGGGGAATCGAACCCACGCCGCAGAAGTGGAAAGCGAGCACCCTAACCACTATACCAGAGTGTTTTTCCATGATGAGACTAAATTTTTACAACTCTATACTGATATACATGTGTGAAATTTTTAAGTGGCATTCTGAATCATCGTTCTGGGTTGAAAAACTTTCGAGAGTGTTGTTTTATTGTTTAGATGACGAAAACTTCAATAAAAAACAATATAAACACGGATTATAAACACAAAGGCTCTCTAGCCAAAACACTATGTTCACAGCTAAATAGCCTTAAATTTTAAGGCTCTTTAGCATTTTGGCTAAAGAGCCTTAAATTTTAAGGTACTCCAGACACTTCGATTTGTATAAGGCGGGTACAAGTTGATATAAAATAATGAAATGTTCAGACTCACCAAAACTTCAGGATGTGTTCATAAGTAGATCGTGAAATCAATGTCAAGGACGTTTGAGTTCACGAGATCCAAACGAGATATGCAAATTTTTTGAACTTTGACAACACATGACCACTTGATTACCTCGGCCTTCTTCATGAATATTTCCGCTCTATTTACTATAAATGAAGAAAATTAATCGGGATAATGATAATAAATGACTAGATCTAATAAATTCCTGCACAAATGGAATTTATCAATACGCTTCCGTAATGTTGCTCCATCCGCTCCACGTGTTATTTGTTTACAAATAGACTGACGTCACTGGCTAAATCTCGTTTATCGTGAGAATTGGCATTGCCAAAATGGCTTGACCTAATCAATGGCTTCGCCACAAGAAGCGTCTGTACATTTTATGAATATCTTCAGTAAGAGGACAATATACGAAAAAATAATATTGTAAGTTCTTTATAAGGTAATCATTTTATCATTAAACAAACTTATTTGTAACATTTATACAACACCACATTTTACAATAGGATAGGACGAAGGATACAGTCTAAGACCCCTACCACTTCTCGCCCGGGATTTCTCGGTCTGCGGTTCTAGATATTATTTCATGAACATGGATTCGAGTCGTGAAGGCCTTTCTTTTAGCCAATGTTATAATTTAAAGAGGTCATGGCCAACTCTGGAGCAAACTGAAACTGCCAAATGATTGAAAATCAAGGATTTCTTTAATGTTGGAAACATGTTAGTAAATAGTGCTTGCGTTAGTGTTTATTGTACAAAATAAATCAAGCCTTTTTCACAGTACGGGTTGTTTAGTAGAGGGCAAAGAGGCAATGTTGTCCATGTAGGTAGTTGTTGGACACTCAGTGCATGCAGTATTTGCCCGACAAGTACCTACATGTACATGGACCATATTGCCTCCCTGTCCTAACTGTGACGGCAGAAACTGAAATACTGTTTACTTTATATCTCCAAATGTTCCTTACATCTCCATAGACTGTTTGTGAAAGTCTGTAAGTTATCAGCTGCTTCTGTGATCAGAACAATCAAAGCATGTTTTCAAAACATAAAGTGTTTGATATATTTTTCCAGGTACCTCAAGTCTTAGTAATAGCCAGGATAATATTCAACAAAAGGAATTCAACCATCTTGAGAAATACCAAAATTATCCATTTAATAACCAATTAGAGAAGCCACAACTTTAGGATTACTTCATACTACAAGGAACAAACCTACAAGTTGTTCACAATTGGCAGCTATGGACTTATTGAACATGCCAGTAACTCTGGTGGTTAAGGCCCCAAACCAGAAGATAGCAGACCAGACGGTGGAGTGTGAACTAGAGTGGACTATAAGGAAACTAAAGCAACATTTAGAGGACGTCTACCCCAGTAAACCAGTAAGTGAATATAAATAATACTAGGGCCTAGAGTACTATTGTAACAAAATCATTATTTCATCTGAAGAAGCCATACAATATCTGATAACTTCTACTCTTATTGCTATTAAGATAAGAAGATTGAGTCTTATATAAAGTATTTTACCTGATATTCAATATTTTATGAAACACAGTTTGTTTATATTTTACTACTGGGGTTGGGTAGGCACTCAATGTATAGTGTGCAATAGTTTCGAATTTGATATCAGATTGATTGGCATTTATTATGAAATGGAATCCCATCCAAAGCAATTCTCCCTTTCGCAGTTTGCTCTTTGAATCAGAACGTTGGCAAATAGGTACTGAAAAAGCACTCAAAAAGGACAACATTTGATTGGTCAATATTTTCCCACTATGCATTTCGCGTAGCTATTTGCGTGACCCGAAAGTTCTAAATCAAACTAATTACGCAATTTTGTTTTTACACCCGCACACTAAATAAAACAATGACACCATCGGAAGTATTCTTCGTTGTCATTGCTTTAATCGTGAGTATACCGAGTTTAATCAATAAAAGATTGTACAATGACCAACAAAATTCGGAAACGAGTATTATAGATTTGCTTTCGGACCACTGAACAGATTGACCTAGATAAAAGCGACGCATCTTCTTTGGTCTACTGCTCAGTTGTTTGTGGATTTTCAACGTAACTCTATAATGTAATTTGAAGATCAATACTTTTATTCAGTTGTTGCATCGATGTAGCAGTTTGTAGTGCGGTAAGATTGGCAGGAAAGTATTGAAAGTCGAATGGAATTGTTTTTTCCAAAATGGCGACTAGTCAACTGATCACGTGACCTTCTCTTCCGGAATATTTTCTCACTTTTCAATCATCGTTTTCACCACGCTATGAATCAATACAATGAGAAAAATAGCTGTTATATTAAGACTAATAAGAGACCAATCGTTTCTAACAATTTTTTCTGTACTCTCGTACAGGAATATGAACGAATATATCGTTTGAAAAATAGGTGTGAAAATCCCCATGTTAAACCTATGAGGGAGAACAAGGAAGTATAAATTTGTTCCTCCGCGAACTGCATCATGGGAAATATTTTGACCTTATAAGGAAAGATTTTCGTGTCTCCTCTTTTGAAGAGGGAACAACGATTTCGAGAATTGGTAAATGTAAAACCTTAAAGTAAAATACTGTAATGTGTTACACTCATTTTTCAATTTTTTTCCTGTGTACAATGTAATAAACTCTATGAAATATGAAAATAGCATAAGAATTTATTTCTGTTTACATAGAAACATAACCAGCAGAGGTTGATCTACTCTGGGAAGTTGCTCACTGACCAACTGGTGCTGAAAGATGTACTGAGACAGGTTAGTTGTTTAGAAGTTTAACATGGGGTTTCATTAGAAACAGGGATTGTTGTTATGTAAGCTAAACCTTCTCCATCTCTGTCCTTCTGCGATACAAAGTGAGAGAGATGATATGAACAGAATGGAAAACAGGCATTTTTTCTTTTTTGTTCTGGTTGTTTAAAGACTGCCTGTTGTTTTGAGGAATGTTTGTTTAGTTGTTATTATTATTCTGAATATTATTATCATAATTTTGATAATTTTAAACAATTTTGACTCTTGTTTCATTTGTTTTACCTATTATTCAGATATTCTAATGAAATGCAGTTAAGTCCTGTATTTTGCAAAATAATTATTCAATGATACAATATAGAAAAAGGTTTCTCTTACAGTTCTAAGCTTCCTACCATCATCTGTTGGATAAAATTAATAGTTTTGATAAATATTGCAACTTAGTAATTGTTCAGATTAAAAAACAAGCCGTGTCACAAAACAACATGGGAAATCACTTATACAGATCAATATGAAATGAAAATATTAATGATAGATGTAAAACATTGTTATTTGTGTAATTTATGTTTTTGTTCCTGTCATTACTGGAGTAAGTTCATGCAGAATAGCATGGGAGTCTACCATATGGTTTATTGTAAATGAATTACATACTTATATGATGCCCTTGGTGGCTTATTATAGGTGTCAGGTCAAGCGAATTGTTGGATAATGTGTAAATATGGAGTTAAATACACCTCATTAGTCCCTGATCTCAAATTTTCTCATTTTAATACTGCTTTCGCAAAACAAAATTTGAGTGGTTTTGGAATTGTCCATATATAATCAATTTCTGATATTTTGAAGTAATGTTTGCATTGTCATGTTGATGTAATGAATTTTATTACTAATTCATTGAATTTTATACCATCTATCTGTTTTACGTCATCTGCTGGCAGCACTCTAGAGAATTATTTGCTGAATTGTTTCGTAATTTCAGTCCTATTTTAATATAAATTTCGTTTCCTTACAAATATTAAATCACTGTGTCCCAATTCCTCAATGTTTATTATATACAAGTACCATTTCTGTTTAGGATGATACTGAGATTTTGTCTCACACTGTACACTTGGTGTGTTCTCAGCAGTCTGATGCCTCTAGCAACAATGGTAACCATAGCAACACACAACCACAGGTACGTTTTTCATTGCTTTCATTTTAACATGATCTTGTTCAATAAAATACATGTATTTAAGTTGAAGAGCATTTAAACTGAATGTCTTCGAAAGATGCCATCTGAGTATATTCACTGCAAGGAAAAAAATAAATGCTGCATCGACAAAGTTTTAAAACACTCTGATACCAAAAGCATTCTTGTCCTTTAAAAGTATATTTTGTTATGGTTCACTTTAAGAAGTTAAAAATGTCCTTGACTATCAAAATAGACGATGCAGTTACATTTACTCAACCCATAACATGTTAATCTTTACATTATAGACTATACCTAGAGATGTGACTCCCCCAGCACCTGTACCTGCTACCCCCACAGAAACAACTCCTGATGGTCTTCGGCACAGAGGAACTCAGCCACCCCAACCCCAACCTCAACACAGTCCCTTCCCACATGGGTATATAAAATGATACTTATTGACAAACATTGCAATTTCAATCATCAAAAATGTTTCTGATAGAAGAAAATCAATGTTTTAAAAAGTAGTGAAGTCAGCTGATTGAAATTCTGTTTATTATTTATTATTTCTAAAATATTTCTTATATTTGAATAGTGTAAAATTCTCATTGTAATCATTTGGACTAATAAATGCAAGGTGCACAACTGTCTAAAATATCCACATTTTTTTAAAAGAATGGTTTCATTAGCAGCAATTATCTCTATTTGTTTTGAAAACAATAACAAAAATTACCTGAGGAATTCTGCTGGTTGTTGCCATTTGATCATTTCCAATAATACCGTCTGTTTTCTGATTACTTAAGGGATCAGTGCATATTAACAGTCAAATAAATTAAATTTGTTGATTTCAGTGCCCAGGACATCTACAGCAATTATTACAACTCAATGTACCAACATTCTTACACACCAGAACAATGGATGTATATGCAGCACATGTACGCTCAACAAATGCAGCAGTACATGCATTAGTAAGTTCATTATGGTTATGTTTTTGGGTGTCATGCATATCTTAAAGGATTTGTACTTGCTAAAGGATTTCATAGGCAAATTTCACTATGTCTGTCATTCTGTGCTGACAGGAAGATTGGTGATCATTACATGGCAGTCATTTTGCTCTTTGAAGGGTGATCTTTATCACTGTGTGTCTATCCTTTCTAAATGGAATGTGTCATATTTTATTGTCTATCCTTTCTAAATGGAATGTGTCATATTTCATTGTCTATCCTTTCTAAATGGAATGTGTATCCTCTCTAAATGGAATGTGTCATATTTCGTGTCATATTTCATTGTCTATCCTTTCTAAATGGAATGTGTCATATTTCATTGTCTATCCTTTCTAAATGGAATGTGTCATATTCCATGTCATATTTCATTGTCTATCCTTTCTAAATGGAATGTGTCATATTTCATGAATGTTCGAGGATAAAAAGCTTCAATGTTGATACTGTTTAAGGAGTAGCATGTTTGAGTCTTTTTTAAGTTAGTTTCACTTAAAAAACATTTAGATTTAGACCCAGCCCATAAGGCCTCATAGATATCAAAGGGTCTTTTATATAGTATGAAAAAAACTGCTATTATTATTTTTTGATTGATTATATCAACTTATTTTCCAGCTATCAGCAGATGGGTCAGCAAATGCCTGCTGGCTTCACTCCTGATACCCCCATTGTTGAACAGCCAGCCAATCAGGAGGCAGAACAGCCAAACCAAGCAGCCAATCAGGACCAGAATATCCGCATGAATGCACAAGGTGGCCAGGATTTCGATGATGAGGATGAACGTAATAGGGACTGGCTCGACTGGAGTTATACTTTTATAAGATTTGGAGTGCTACTCAGTATTCTCTACTTTTATTCTACATTGCATAGGTTTATGATAGTGTTCACCGTGATCTTCCTGTTATACATGTAAGTCAATAGCCCTATCATATTAAATCATATGAAACAACAATAAATGTGTTTGGAGCTTTAGAAAGTATATTGTACAGTAACACCTAATGTTACATAACATTACAGAACAAAAGAATACATCAAGTTACTTAAGATTAAAAGATAATTTTTTAAGTAAAAAATCAGTACAACAAATGCTAATAAAAATACTGTTCAGCACATGAATTCATCGTAACAGTTCATCTCACAGCATCTGTTGGGACATTCAAATAATTATTTAATATATTATCTCAACATAGTTGATTCTACTGTGTTTATCATGTCCCTGTGTTCGATTTCAGCTACAACACTGGTTTCTTTAGACTGAATAGGAGAGAGCCAGCCCCCCAAAGGAACAACAACAACGGACAACAACAACAGCAACAAAATGATAACAATGCTGGGAATGATGAAAACAATGACAATGAAAATGACATTACTGAAAATGTTGAACCAGCTGAGCCTCCCCTTCCGGCCCAGCCTGGTGTTATAAAAGTGGCATTTAATTTCTTCGTCACATTTTTCTCTTCTTTAATCCCTCAGCAACCCGGTGCAGTGAATGCGAATTAGATAGCATGTATTTATTATTTAACCCTTTGATTCCTGTGTTTTCTATCTGGTGTTGGAACCTGGTGTTATAAGGGTTAATGTTGTTAAGTATATCACAGTGCAGTAAAATAATGTGACTGAAGTTTACAATAATTTTTTGACTAAAATACTTGTGACTACATGAGTAACAAAACCATTGTACAAATATGATAACATATATTTTCATATGATTTCATAACTTGTCAGCTGTACCATTGCATGCCTCGTGAAAATTCATGGCATTAAAAAATAGATTTGATGTATACTTCCTCAAGTCATTTATACATGCCATTATCAGACATCTATTTCCTCCTATTTCTAATCATTGATGTAAAGATCTTCATGATAGTTACAAAAACCAAATTAAATAGCCTAGTGTCTAAACACATGCAGCTACTCATAGCATTATGAAACATTTGATATGTAAGTATTCAATCTATTTTGGGTCACTTATCTCAATTCTCAATAGACCCCTTCACAAACATCCATCAAGATAATACCCTTCTATCAGTTTCTTCTTAAAGAACATAATAGATAAAAAACAAAAAGACGCCATGACTTTATCAAAATTCTCCAGAACAGAACTCAAATATTTGTTTGATTTGAGGTAAAGTAAAAATTCAGTGTAATGTTATATACCCCATGCAATGTGACTGTTGTATAGAATAGCCAAAGTCACTGTAGTAGTTTGTATATAATGTACAAATGTATATAAGATATACCAATAAACTGGAGATTGGTTTCATAATATATTTGAAGGCCTGGGTCAGGTATTAATGTGACATTTTTATGCAAAAGTAATTTCACTTTCAAAAAGTTCATTTTTAAAGTTTAGAAACATTGTACAAATGCTTGATCTATTAATCTAATACAATGTACCTGGGCTTAATGAAGAGAGTGAGCAGGTATAAGTGTTGGTTAAATTACTTTTGTGGAAAAAAGCATTTAATGTTTGACCTGGTCCCTTAGCATGATATACTCAAGGGTGATTTCCGTCACATGTAAAAGTAATCGTCAACATTGTCTCATTAAAATGACATCTTAGTCGCCCCAAGCTTGTTTTATTTTGATGCAATTTTATTAGCTAGAGATCCATCATTCACAACACAACACCAATACATTCATTCAGCTTGATCTGTATTTATGATCATTTAAGGAGTGAAATTAATTTTGTGCAGTATAAGACCCAAAATGCAGCTCTGGTGATGGGCTATTAATGTACACGTACAGTGTTGTTTTGAATTAATCATATTTGGTCCTTGGTTCACTTATGAGGGAATTCTATCTTGCCCAAACGTTTGCAGCAAATTTTAGTATGTTATGGCTAATTAGGAGTCGGATCTCTCAAGATGTTAGTGTGTTATTAGATTAGCTGGGAGCTCTGACTCCTAATGCTGTATACCATAATAAAGGCAGTGAAATGCTATGAGTGCCTTGTACTATGTGCTTAACAAATAGCAATCATTTATTATTTATTTCAACAGCAGCCTCAGATAACTCATATCCACTGGGTGCACCTGACATGTCTGAGTGCACCTGACATGTCTGAGTGCACCTGACATGTCTGAGTGCACCTGACATGTCTGAGTGCACCTGACATGTCTGAGTGCACCTGTTTCTGCAAAAAACACTTGCCTCACCTGCCTTGTGCCTTGTACACCCATGGCTACTTATATAAGTATAAATCTAAATAATAAATTAAATACCATGATGGGTGCTTCATATGGGAAAGGGTTCTCATTACATCATCTGATTATTAAAATTCAGCAAGGAAGATTGGCAGCCAAATTCAAACTCAATATTCTGTTACCTTGCATGGAACTATTTGTTAATAACATTTCCCATATGTTGAAGAATAGCACTGTCATAGAAGTTGAATATTACTCCAATACTCGTAAACTAAAGACTCGATACTTGGTCCCAAGATGAACTTTATAGAAATATGTAGTATCAATGCCCGGCAATAGAATATTGAGTTTGAACTTTGGCTTTCAATCCTCCTTGGATTCAGAAAGGCTAGAGATTTAAATGGTACAATGTCAAGAAAGTCTAGTAAAATGTCTAATGAATTAAATAAATATTTTTTTGCTTGTTTATTAATGAATTCCTTGTAATGAAAGAGAATCTGGTAATAAATCAATAAAGAAATGTATGAAACAGAGTTCAATTTGTTTTGTTTCATAATATATATCATTGTACATATAGTTTAAGTTTATTTATGATCAGGGATTGTATTGTATATTTCCCAACCAGATCACCACTAACACATTTCATGAGAAATTATTGAAAATTATTTAATTCCAAGATACATTAGATGTAAATGGCAACTGTAAGGAATAAATCATCTTAGTGGATGTCTTTATGTTTGTCTAGTCACATTACAAAAAAAATAATTAAAGCACCATGCAGTTTGAAAATGATGTTAAATACACAGGGCCTTTAAATGATGAATTTTAGTGGAATAGTGAATAATGAAGAATGTCAGTGTAAAATACAGTCATTGGCCAATCAGATTGCCATAAAATGATAATATTAAGGAATGTTTCTATTCAAATGCAGGAGAGACCGGTTTGATTTATCAGTTTATGTTGATAAATTCAACTGTGACATAAACAACAGTGTAAGAGATAATCTTATCACTATTGGCAAAAAATCTTGACTGCAAAATATAAAAAAAAATCTCACAAAAAATACAAAGTCCATCTTCAATAATAATATTGTCTATTTACATAATTGTTACATGATTTTACATACAATTTACTATATACAGCTTAACATATACACACAATGATGTTGCCAATGTTCAATATAGATACATGTACAACCCAAGATATTGCTTTTTATCCTACACTTAGTGTACTAAATGTATAATAACATTAAAAATAAATTTGATATTTATTGGCAAAATGAATATGCGGAGGATATCGTAACGATATACTCCGGGCGGAGGATATCATGGCGATATACTCCGGAAAACCCAATATGGGGAGGATATTGTGACGATATACTCCACTTGCTGATTTCCCGCCAAGTTGACTCTATTTGGCATGAAATTCATTTTGCAATAATATTATACATTTAGTACACTCCTTGTAAGTGTAGGATAATAAGAACATCCTACGATTTTTTCAGAATATCATTTTAATCTACTCTGTGATATTGATATATGCACTCGTTCGCTTCGCTCTCTCTTGCAGATATCAATATCACCTCGTAGATAAAAATGATATTCCTCAAAATCATAGGATATCCTATAAATATCTTGGCATGACCATTTCACTAGTTTCGGATCCTGTCTGGATCCTTTTTCAACTGTCTAAAAACTCACTTTATACAGTTGAAAAAGGATCCAGACAGGATCCGAAACGTCCTGGTTAGTAAAATAAAGGTTGTGAAAAGAAATAATATTTTGTAATTTTATACTTGTATATGTATGTCCCATTGTCACATTCAGATGTTCAATCAGGTTTGATAAATCAAATCCATTTGAATAAGTTCAAACAGTCCTCATCCTTTGATTATGGTTTAACTAATCACAAATGCATCCTCTACTACTGTATCTGTGTAAAACAAATTACATTTGGTGACAATATTTTTGAGGCCTCTTTTATATGCCAGTCTTCTTTGAATGATATTTTTCAAGAACGGGCACTTCACTAACTTGAATGAACCTCTTATGTATATCACAGTTTAAAGTTTATCATCTATTTCAACCTTACAAAGTTTTAAGCACCATTTTTACATCTATATCGTCTCCTGGCAACCATCATCATCACTAGAGCATTTACTAGGACCGCAGGGCAGCTAGTCTGAATTAAAGAAAAAAATCATGTTTTAAATAAGTAACAGCTACAAACTTAACTGGAGACATTTCCAAAACAAAACATACACTTAAGAATTGTGGCTAATTTAAGTGTAGAAAGATTTGTGCAACATGGCTCTTTCAGTCCCTCTTCCTATATCTATTTCCATGTCATAGATGAATATGTATGTCAGGGGGATACACATAGGCTTTTTGGAGAATTCTTCTTCATGAAAATTTTGAAATCATTTGAAATAAGTACATTGATAAATCATCAAAGATATGTAAGTGCTAGGGATGTCACGGTTTCCCGATATTTTTGTCCCATGACATCCCTAATAAGAGCATACTGTGATACTTATGCATCAGACAAAATATCAGATAAATTTGTACCTTCTACTTAAGTCATCTTGTTTCTTGTTTTCAGCTTCGGCCTCTGATCGTATAGATGCAGTACTAGGGTTAAGATCTGCTAACTGGTCACTAATGTCTAAGTCATTCTCTGCAGCCACCTCTTTTATAAGGGACTCTACTTGGTCTTGGGGTGTGGAAAGTGTGGTAGCTGTTCCCATTGCATCTTCCAATACCTGTTAATATTGCAAAATGTTTAACTTCCTTTGCAAATACATGTATCTAATGCCTGAGTTACATTTGCTCAGATTCATCGGCTGGCGCCCGGCCGATTGAGTATTTTGTTCAAGTTTGTATTCAGTTTTGAACAAAAAACTCAATCTGCCAAGTGCCGGCCAATGAATCGGAGCAAATGTGACCCAGGAATAAAGGGAGACCCTCATAATCCTTATTTCCGACCTTATTTGAACTTATAACTTTAATCCCATTAGAATAAATAGGTGTTATGAATTATAAAAGATGGAGTGTGATTTTGAAACTCCATATATGTTTTGCAGAGTCTTATACCTTTTCTCAAAAGCCCCCCTCCCTCTAAAGTAAGAGGCCTTTAAATTAGCATAAAGTTAGAAAAAACATTGAGATTTAACATGATTATTAATGTAATAATTAATGCTATAATTAACTGTGTGTGATGCTAATACTTACGGAAGTTCTAACATCTAGGTCTTCAAACTGTGTCTCAAATTTCTCCATGACTTTAGATACTTTCTCTAGATCCATAGATGACATTGCTTTATCTAAGGCCTTGCTCACTGAACTTATGTCCTTGGTTACCTTGGAAACAACAACAATAGATGACACATGTACTACACTTTATCCAAAACAAAAACAAAGGTGATACATGGAATACTTAATTACTTTTATACTTTGAAGGATGCAAATGTGAGGTATGAGAAAAATAACAGTGACAATGTTGTACTCAGAAAGCTTAATATTCAATTCAATTTAACTCATTGGTAATACTGTACTTCTACTTAATTTGCCAGCCGTTTTAAATTCGTCAAATTGTTAAAGTCCGCCAAATTAAGTAGCTGCCAAATTTCCCGGTAATTTTAGTACCCTGTAAATTAGTACCATTTGTACATTGTAATATGCCAAATGTTCAAAACAGCAAGTCAGCCAAATTAAGTTGCCGCAAAATGTTCAAAACAGGAAATCCGCCAAAATAAGTAGCACCAAATTAAGTAGAACAGTTATACATATAGTTTGCATAATAAGACATTGTAGGTGGTACCATTTCAGATGCTTATACTCACAATAAGAATGTAGACTATGAAGAGATCTATCAAAACAAACTAAAAGACCTACTTGTTTCATTGTAACAGCAGTTTGTACCCTAGAAGCTACAGCATCCACTCTGCCAGCCATACGTAGGTAATTCAAACCCTCATTTTTCTTGCGAATTGCGTTCTCTGCATAGATACGAGCTGTCTCAATGTTCTTTGATGCTATTGCCTGGAGAAGGATATAAAATCATAGTATTTAGGGGTGGACATTTTTACAATATCTGAATGTCCATATAGGTCAGACACCTTTTTGTAGGTTAAAAACCTTGAAGAGGCCATTAAGAGTATGCAGAAAGATCAAAACATGGATACAGGATCAAATACACGTATTAATAACATTATTTACCTTTTTTACTTTTGCTTGTTCTTTCTTCTGGTCTTTTTCTGCCCTTTTGGCTAACCGCTCCAACTGTTTGCCTGTGAACTGTAAACAATAAACATTTATGTTCAAAATCATTTGGATAGATTTACCATGAACACTTCTAGCATAGATTTTTGCCTGATATAAAGATGGCAGCAGTGGTAAGAATGAATAAAAAGCTATGAAGAGGAGGGGAAACCCCATGATTCAATTGATGACATATGATTTCCTCCATTGCGCACCTCCTTTCCCGGAAGTACTTACCCTCCATCTTGGTATTCAAAGTTTTCAAATTGACCTAGTTTTAAACCAATCAACGATCGACTCGCTAAACCAAACAGCGACATGTCATCTCAATACAGATTTACATTATAAGCGTATGTCATCTTTGAACCATGGGGTTTCTCCCCCTCTTAAAAGCTAAAACAGATTGATTGCAGTGCCATCTTTATTTAAAAGTTATTTGTTTTTAATTAGGTGCCCTGGTTTAAATATCCCAGATGCGAGTAGAAATAATCTTGATTTACGTCATTGAAAATTTTCAATTCAGTCAAACAGATGTCATATTTGGAATCTACATGTAAAATTACATTTCGAAATGTGATTTTGAAAAGAGTTGCTTTGAAAATGTGACTTCTAGGTGGGGGAGATTCCCCATAAACCACATGTTGTAAAACCACAAAAAGTGAAATATTTTTTCTTGTGTTGGGCAGATAATATTTTCTTTTACTGGACATATTTTAATTTGAATAACTATCAGATACATGGTAATATGAAAAGTGAACCACTAAAACTGATGCATATTCGAATTTTGTAATACCCTGCCATGTTAATTCCCCCGAATCAGCCACTGGTGGCGAAACTGGTAACTACCTACTCGCATCTGAGTAATTGGAGGTCCTAAAGAATGCGTCAAATTATGTGTCTGCTTAATTCTTATTACAGAAGTTTCATATAACAGATTGTCTTGGACTTTCAGCATAGTCTATTAGTTGTGTTGGTAGAAATGCAATTGTGATTCTAGTTGTCAGAATGTTAGTGTCTAATTATGTGCTCTTTTTGTCAGCAATATTAAAATTTGACAATAAAAGAAGCACCATAGATCCAAAAATAAACTAAATAGTGCCAAATTTATAAGAAATACAGCATTTATTCATAAAATATTAGAATCTTTTTTAATTTTTTGAACATTTTTAATACAAGCTTTTATTTGATGTGTTACATATGTTCCAATACATGAACTGGTTTACTCGAATCAGTTATAGAAATAAAATGATAGAAAACGAAATATAATTCTCATTTTTGGCAATTGCAGCTCTATAAGGGTTTAAACTTTTCTTATATATTTTTGTTCATAATCAATTTAGAGGTACATATATTATAATTATAAATACACTCAAGAGGTTATAGGAAAGCCTTCCATAAAAAATATCTATACATACCTTCAACTGGAATAGGGTATCTGAAAGTAAAAAAAGAATGAAATTAAAATTGTATCATAGCAAATTTATGAATGGGCTATAACAGATATTGTTAAAACCTGATTGGACAAAGATAGGTCAACAGATTTAATTGTTAGTACCTCATTGTAATTGGTCAATTAGCGGTCAACATTTTTGCCTGTACCTCACTTGTGCATCATGGGATATCATATTATTGACCGCGTATGTTACTGTACTACACTTGTGAATTATGGGAAATATGACGTCACAATGTTTACAGAAAAAACATGGTAGTCGGACATTTTGTACATGTTGATGAAAGTGATATTTTGACTTTTCTACACGACGAGTATATAGCAACAATACAAATAGAAACCCAAAATTAACATTAATTTTCTGGTGAGTACGCAGTTATGTGCCGAAACAGAGAGTTTAGCTTCCACTGTCTTCAGATTTTCTTAAAAATTATTGCTGGCGTGGTTCATAGAAAAGATTGTGAAATGAAGCCATGATTGATGACTGTCGTATATATGAGTATTATTAGTTTCTTCTGACTAACAAAACAATTGTAGACCTCTCCATTCGGTTAACCGTCAAAATCATATACCTCGACTGTAAACCTTGAAACACTGTTGACCTCGACCTTCGGTCTCTGTCAACAGTAGCTTCTCGGTTTACAGTCTCGGTATACAATTTTGCCGGTTGACCTCTGGAGAGGTCAACAATTGTATACTATTGTCCATAATTATTGCTTTGCATTGGCATAGCGTTTTTGAACAAGATGAATCTTAGGAGAAGGTTGATGGAGTATGATGAATATAAATAATTAATTTAAATTAAATTTTTCCTTGCACTACAAACAAATTGAAATTCCCCACTGTACACCTTGTGGTCTCAATCAACGAGGTGACATCAAAATTTCATCTTTTTTATTTTTACAAACCCTGCTAGCTAGCCATGGCTGCATATTAAAAATTCCATAAACAATGCGTTTCAGCCCTATTGAGACCTAAGTGGTTTGTTGTGCATTGTATTGCTGTTGAGTATTAGAGTTCTTTGCATGCACAATCAAAGTGGGAGGAGACACATCTAAGTCCCAATCTATTTCATCATATGTCAATGCTTGCATCATCAAAATATAAACATCCAGCGTCATTTTGGAACGAAATGAACATATTCAGCTCATCAAATAAAGTATGAATACTTTTTTATATTCTCATACATTGACATCATTTTATTATAGGATAATTTACACCTTATCATTCATCTTATGAATTATTTTGGGAAGTACAGCTGTTTGAAAAAAAATTGTTGCAAAACTTTTCATTTATTTTGTCAGATGTAACATTGATAGTGGAGAGTCTGATCTGCTAAGATATAATTTTATAATCACTGGTGATCCGCTCGATTACGCTGGCTACCAAAACAGTTTGTTTCAGTAACAAAATGTCTGAACGTTGAAGGTACGATTTTTCTTTTTTTCCTTATTTCAAGAGTTGTAGGCAGAATTCCCACGACATTTTTATCACAAACGTGTATCAGCATCATTTGTTTAAGAAAATGTACATGTTTGCAAACAAATAGTACAGAAGACAACAGAATCGTCCATTTAACTCCTCTCTTAGTTACATAAACGGAGTTTCGAAAAACAGTTAAGATCTGCACGTTTAACTCATTCTGTTTATGTAACTTAAGTGAGGTATCAAATCGATGATTCTGTTGTCTTGTGAGCTATTTTTTCACAAACTGTCATGTACATTTTCTAAAACATATGATACTGATACACATTTGTGAGAAAAATGTCGTGGGGATTCCGCCTACAGTAAAATTTTAAATGTTAGGAACTACTTTGAATTTAAAAAAGCAATCAAATGACCAAATTGAAACAGTATATGTAAAAATAGAAACATTTATATTTATCTTAACTTTTGTATATTTCAGATAGTAATGTATAATGTGCAGCAAAGCTGTGGCCTTTTGTAATTTAGGGAGTTTCAGCCATGTTAATTTTTCCGAAAATAACATGACATCGACAGTAGATAACTGGGCCAGACGGGTTTGGTTACCTATCACTGGTGTATATAATATAAGTAATATATGGAGGACTTCCCACTATCCGTGGCCCAGATCTACGATGTCAGTAGTAGATAACTGGGCCAGACGAGTTTGGTTACAGTGATAGGGAGAGCCCAGACTACCTGCCACTTGTGTTCCCCATCAAAGAGCCTACCTGTAGCTGTGTAAGTGAATGTAAATTAGCCTTCAGTTCCAGTGACATGATTAGCTTCGATATCTAATGGCAATCATTTCAATTTTTTTTTTATCATGTTTTATTTAATACAATAATATATGTAAAAAGAAAATTTCCAAAAAGGCGACTTTGTTTAACATTATAAGTCGCAGGGTTAATTATAAAATTTTATTTCAAAAAAACAAAAAACAATCCAATTGGTGAAGCAAATTGGTGAATAAATTAAGCATAGAAGGTTTGATAATTGCTGCTAACACTCAGACACTTACACACTTCTGGAGAAAATAGGCACTAGTTTCAAGAACAGTTATGTTTGTAGCGTAGTTAAGTTTTGAGCTGCCAAAAAGAAAGAAATTCAATTTCTCTTGTTGGGTCTTAAAATTCTTTTTATATTGGATTTCAAGGTTATTTAGTTTAATTTCGAAGTCAGTTAGGAGGGTCCTATGGAGTCTGCAGTTAAAGATGACATGCTTGGATGTTTCACTTTTGAATCCACACTTACATTTTGGTGTATCAGCTAGAGTAAAGTTGTGGGCATGAAAATGAGATTGAAAAATCAAGTCGACTCTAGTCCTATTAAGACTGATTTCCTCTGGTCTAGGTAAATGCAATGAGGTAGATGATATGATAGGTTCTGGATAAATGAGAAGTGTCAATTTAGATTTGAAAGTACTTAAATTGTCTATCTCTTGGAGTTGTTGGGGTAGTTTGTTCCATTCTGAGATAGCAGTAAAAATGCATGTTTTCTTTAATATCACAGATCTTTTAGCGGGCAAGACAAATTCAGTTGGATTTCTCAAATAGAGAGGAGGTTGTTGTCTCTTATATTTATCAAATATGTTTTGAACATATGAAGGAACTTTCTGATTTTGGACATTGAACATGAGGGTTAGTCGATGAAACTTCCTCCTCGTCTCTAGTTTAGGCCAATTTAGAATATTGAGCACCTTTTCAGAAGATGACCCATGAATAGTTCCACTACAAATCAGAGCTGCCTTGTAGTAGAGTTGGTCAATGCGTTTTAATTTGGAAATATCTGCACATCCATAGAGGATGTCGCAGAAATCAAAATGTGGTAAGATAAAAGATTTGAACATAAGATTTAGATGGTTTCCACTAAGTTTTTTACTTAATGCTTTAAGTGGATTTAAAAGCTTATCAATTTTCTTTGCAAGATAGGTAATGTGGAAATTGAAAGATAATTTAGAGTCAAAGATAAAGCCAAGGTGTTTATGCGAAGCACACCTAGGTATGGATTCAGTTCCCAATTTTAGGTCAGGGGTTATTATTTCATTCTTTTTTGGACTACTAAATGTCAGATAATCACTTTTAGAGGGTTTGAATTTTAATTGCCATTTATCAGACCAATTGTTTATAGAATTTAGATCAGATTGGAGGGTGTTTATACATTCAGGCATATTATCATGTCTGAAGGGCTGATAAAGAGAAGTGTCATCTGCATACAGAAAACACTTGCTTAAAATATCATCAGGTAAATCGTTTATGTAAACTAAGAATAGCAGAGGTCCTAAGATGGACCCCTGGGGAACTCCCGAATTGATATAGTCGCTGGCTGACCATGGAGATTCATGTCCGTCAATAAGCACTCTTACTTTTCGATTGGTAAGATATGATTCAATAAGTAGCATTATATTTGGACCAAAACCGTATGCATGTAGCTTCTTAAGTAATAGCTTATGGGGTAAAGTATCGAAGGCGGCCGATATATCAAGAAAGACTGCACGAACATCATTACCATTATCCATATTAGAAGTTAAAAAATCAAGAATACTTAGTAGTTGGTGTTGTGTACTGTGACCTGGGAGAAATCCACTTTGAAAATTAAATAGAAGATTGTTTGTTAGCAAATGGTCAAACATCCTTTTAAAAATAACTCTCTCGGCTACCTTTGAAAGGCAGCTTAATAGAGTTATTGGACGGTAATTAGAAACAAGATTTTTGTCACTTTTTTTATGGCATGGGATAATATTCCCTAGTTTCCAGGAATTAGGAAATTTTCTAATTTCAAACATCTTATTGAGAAATTTTGAAAATAATTTTGATAAAGATGGCGCTGCTAACTTGAGCATTTTATTACTTAGTTTGTCAGGACCTAAAGCTTTGCTAACATCGAGTGATTAAAGAATTTCATAAATCTCTCTGTCATTTGTTGAAAGGATATTTAAAAAAGAATCAGTTCTAAGGTCAAACTGAACACTGTCTGTATCTACGTTATGATCAGAAGGAAAATTTTTGATGAAATGGTCAAGAAATAAATTAGCCTTTTCTGTGCTGGTGAGTATAGAAGAGCCGTTTTGGTTGGTCAAAATAGGAATCCTAACAACTTTAGTTTTGAATAAAAGTTTAGATATGACCGACCAGTAAGACTTGCTGCCATATTTAAGGGAGTTTAATTTCTCATACATGTGTGATTCATACTCAAGTTTGGCCTTTGTTATTTCCTCGTTAACAATATCACACTGGTCAATGTACTTTTGATAGCGTTCTTGATTGTTGTTGTGGCGGTATTTGAAATGTAGACGATTCCGTTTATTAATTAGTGTTTTAATGTGAGGCTTGAACCATGGTTTATCATTGCTCCGGACCTTTATAAGTTTATTTGGAATGGTATTAGTAAATATTTGGTAGAGTTGGTTAGTAAATCGATCACATAACATGTCCATATCATATGAATTTTCAATAAGTTGATCAAGTTTTGAATTTCTAATTGAGTCGTTGATATTTTGAACATCAGCCTCGGAATATGAC